CAACTTCCAAGGTGGAATTTTGTCTGGTGGTGTATCACAGCGATAACTGAAGCTTGATTTCATAAATCCACTTGGTTGTTTAATTAGACGATGATCCAGGGTTGAAAGGCATGCCCCAGGATCACATTGGTGTGGCTCTTGCACACGAATGCGAATGTATTGGTGCGAAATGGGCCGGCAGTAAAGAAAAAAGGAAAAGAATCCGTCGAAAACGCTTAGGTTAAGGGCTCACTCACCTTCCTAATCGGCTGTGCTAAGGGAATGAGAGACTAAGCGCGGAGAGGAGAGTATGAGGCGAGAGAGCGCTACAGATGAGAGAGCGCCAGACAACAGCCTGATAAGAGAAAAAAATCTGCAGCTTCAGCAGCTTACTTTGCAAGGCCCAAGCGCTCTTGTCGGGGTTGTGCTTTTAAATGACGGAATGTTCACCGCAAATGTCTCAACTCAGATAGCATTCCAGCAGCATAGCATCTTGTGCTGCCGAAAAAAATTCAAATGCCTGGCATGGCAGCATGTGCTGCTGCCCCGCCCAAGCTCTGTGATTGGTCTATTCGGATTGGGGTGGAGCGAGGGCGGGTCTCCAGCACAACTGCCATGGACCAGGAGAGCCCCAACAGGAGCAGGACCTGCTGCCCTTCGCCGGAGGCGCGAGAACACAGAAGGACTCCGCGTGCTCAACCAATAGGAGACGAGCCGCTCGTCTCCTATTGGTTGAGCACGCCCTACTGCCGCAGCCAGGCTGGCAGCACTACTGTCAGGTGCTGCCAAGCTGCTGTCCTGATACAGTTCGCGGCGGGACCAATGAGGGTCCCTCCGCGATTTCTACCGCGGGACACTCGATTGGCGGGAACAATTAATTCGCTGTGACGTCACAGCTTTCGCAAGTACTGGCGTTTGCTGCCTTGCTGCTGCCTTGGTCCTGCGATCCGTACCCTTCCCAAATCCTGTTGCCAGTTATGCTGCCGAAGACTGGCCGGCAGCATATGAGGGTCCCGAGTTGCGGCGGCAGTGCGTCGAAGGAAGCAGCGACTGGGTCCCGCAACGACTGTTACAGTACACGGCTATTTCGAAATGCACGTGACATCCGCGATCGATCGCAGTGGGCTAAGCGCAGGGGCGCTTCCTTCGCTACCCCCCCCCTTTTTTTTCGTTTTTTGTATTCTTGCATTCATTTGTCTCATTAGGGCCCTCTTACACTCAGGAGTGAGGGTAAGAGGGTCCTAATGAGACGAATGAAAGTGTTGATCTGTTATCCGATCGACACTTCAGTATCGATCGGAAGATGCCGACGGGGCAGACCTCGTCGGCATCCTCCGATCGATACTGAAGTGTCGATCGAAGGATGCTTCATCTTCTGGTCGATGCTTCAGCATCGATCAGAAGATGAAGCATCTTCCGTACTAAACTTTCGTGCCATTTCCGATCGAATTCTGAATTGTGCCTATTTCCGACTTTCGTTCTTTGAATTGTTTCGTTTGCGCTCTATTCAATGCGCCGACTACTGGCGTTCATACCTTTAGGAGATGGGGACATCCGAGTGAGGGGTGAGGGGTGAGGAGTGAGGAGTGAGGAGTGAGGAGTGAGGAGTGAGGAGTGAGGAGTGAGGAGTGAGGAGTGAGGAGTGAGGAGTGAGGAGTGAGGAGTGAGGAGTGAGGAGTGAGGAGTGAGGAGTGAGGAGTGAGGAGTGAGGAGTGAGGAGTGAGGAGTGAGGAGTGAGGAGTGAGGAGTGAGGAGTGAGGAGTGAGGAGTGAGGAGTGAGGAGTGAGGAGTGAGGAGTGAGGAGTGAGGAGTGAGGAGTGAGGGGAGGAGTGAGGAGTGAGGAGTGAGGAGTGAGGAGTGAGGAGTGAGGAGTGAGGAGTGAGGAGTGAGGAGTGAGGAGTGAGGAGTGAGGAGTGAGGAGTGAGGAGTGAGGAGTGAGGAGTGAGGAGTGAGGAGTGAGGAGTGAGGAGTGAGGAGTGAGGAGTGAGGAGTGAGGAGTGAGGAGTGAGGAGTGAGGAGTGAGGAGTGAGGAGTGAGGAGTGAGGAGTGAGGAGTGAGGAGTGAGGAGTGAGGAGTGAGGAGTGAGGAGTGAGGAGTGAGGAGTGAGGAGTGAGGAGTGAGGAGTGAGGAGTGAGGAGTGAGGAGTGAGGAGTGAGGAGTGAGGAGTGAGGAGTGAGGAGTGAGGAGTGAGGAGTGAGGAGTGAGGAGTGAGGAGTGAGGAGTGAGGAGTGAGGAGTGAGGAGTGAGGAGTGAGGAGTGAGGAGTGAGGAGTGAGGAGTGAGGAGTGAGGAGTGAGGAGTGAGGAGTGAGGAGTGAGGAGTGAGGAGTGAGGAGTGAGGAGTGAGGAGTGAGGAGTGAGGAGTGAGGAGTGAGGAGTGAGGAGTGAGGAGTGAGGAGTGAGGAGTGAGGAGTGAGGAGTGAGGAGTGAGGAGTGAGGAGTGAGGAGTGAGGAGTGAGGAGTGAGCCGTTTCTACTACGTTTTTCATTATTCAATTCGCCATTTCCTATTCGCTTATTCGCTTTTGAACTGTTTGCTCACTATTCAGTGCGCCACTACTGGCGTTCATATCCTTGGGGGACGGGTCGTCTGAGTGAGGAGTGAGGAGTGAGGAGTGAGGAGTGAGGAGTGAGGAGTGAGGAGTGAGCCGTTTCTACTACGTTTTTCATTATTCAATTCGCCTTTGGTGCCATTTCCTATTCGCTTATTCGCTTTTGAACTGTTGTTCACTATTCAATGCGCCACTACTGGCGTTGAATGCGCCTAGCAGATATTATCGAGACAGTTTCTGAGTACCGTGTGAAAAATTGCGACTAGAGCCCGGAACTCGTCCCACTTGGCTACAGCTGAAGAGACTGAACAAAGACGCACTTCCGTTGTCCATCATTTGATTTGAGTGGTAGTTGGTAGCTTTCTCTTCTTGTTCATCTTCGGCTCATGAAGGGTGATGGGAGCTTTCAATCCATGACATCATTCAGATTTTCGGAAACATACTTGCAACACATAATGTCGGGTCCTATAGTTGATCTACTGATAAGGAACGACAAATCAGCTGCTCTTGAAGCGCTTCGAAATCTGTGGAGCTACCGTTTATTGGAGGTAGATGCAAAATTGGAGGGTATGTAGTCTGTTTCATGATCAAGTTACAGACGTCGTGCATTTGTAGACGTTGCATCTCGAGAGCTGCGATCTAAGCGATCAGGACCTCGAAAGCATTCGTCCGGGCTCCACTTGCGTCAAATATGTCTGCCTTCGCAATAACCAGCTGGTTCACCCTTGGTCGACATTAGCGAAAAATTTCCCAGCTCTCAATTATCTGGACTGCAGAGAGAACAGGTGCTTTGATGTTTCCACAACACTCACCTATTTTGCCTGAGCGAGTGCTGTTCAGGTGGTTGACAATGGATCTGAGCGCCATGAAAGGATTACAGCTCGCCCACATGGAGCACTTGTTTTTGAGTACGCCTGTGTCACAGTATGCGTTTTGGAACTATCACCTTGAAATTGCATCGGATAAGTGTCAATGTTCAGGTGTGCGGCTGAGTTGCGGGAAGTATTGCCAAAGCTCTCCGATATCCATTATTCTCTTGCCAACTTTCCCTTTATGACCGCTAACTCTGACGGGAATGGGTCTCGGGTTCGAGTGATTTCCACAACATCTCTTTCGGAAAACAGCTTGTGTACCTCGTTGTTGTCGGATGAATAAACACTTACCAAATTTTGATTCATTGCTGTATGGGTGCGTAACCGCAAGTATTTCATAGCCCAACTGTGATGTCAGTCGACGTCTGTTCGATTGATTGTGAAAGACTTAACTAGGTATAGGTGTTTTATGAGCCGAAAGCGGACTATTGACGCCCCTTCTTGTTCACGCGACGCCGACGAAGAGCTTCCGGAGCCGTTAGTGAAGATGAGACGACCGCTAGAAAAAGTCAATCATTGAGAGCGATGGCTGGTGAGCGCTTTATAGTCTCTCCGTAGAATCAATTTTTTATCTTTGATTATCAATAATGCCTGATACACCACCTCGACTATTCAGCACCAGTCGTGGCCCTGGCCCGTCAGCTCGCTGAGTCGAATGCTAAACAGTGATTGGACAGGGAGGCCAGCAAAGAGGTCATGGTGGTTGAAATGGAAGCACCCGGGGCTGATGGTCCAGAAGAAGTTGAGGAGCTCTGCGGACGAAATCCACGAAGAAAATGTGGTTGCTGTCCAGGATGACTCAAGGATTTCTATTTCGCTTCCGAGTGAGTGAGATACTTGTAGATGCTGTGTAGTGCAGTGGTTGTCAAGTCATGTCTTAGATACATTAATGTTTTCAGCGTTCCAGCAGAAGGTTATTTATGCTGCCGCTTTTAAACTTCATTTTGGGGTAAGCGAAGAAATGGCAAGTTTTTTGGACGATTTTTTGGCATTCTTTGGTGCTCCACTTCCTGAGCCGGTCAGTCAATTTTCTTTTTATTGCTTTCAGCTTCTTAGAATAATGCGTGATTTAGCACATTGACGACAAAATGTCATGCGAGTAGTTATCGTTTAGTCAATTTACTTAGTCTCTTTTATGGTAGGAATTGTCCGAGTTCAATACTGGGTCTGCTAATTACTATTGACGACTTCTTGAATGAGTAGTGCTAATTTTCTGAGAATCACTTCATTGTATTAAACCAGAATTTCGGTGTGAAAGACCTAATTTTAGAGTATCTCGAATATCGCTCAAGGCTTAGCCAAAGAAACTTCTACCCCGGGGCAATCTGGGGTGCTGAGCACGAATCTGGGCTCGGTTTTGCCGAAAAGACCGAAATTCAGAGTATTTCGAATTCGCTCAAGTTTTAGCCAAAGAAACTTCTACCCCGGGGCAATCTGGGGTGCTGAGCACGAATCTGGGCTCGGTTTTGCCGAAAAGACCGAAATTCAGAGTATTTCGAATTCCGCTCAAGTTTTAGCCAAAGAAACTTCTACCCCGGGGCAATCTGGGGTGCTGAGCACGAATCTGGGCTCGGTTTTGCCGAAAAGACCGAAATTCAGAGTATTTCGAATATCGCTCAAGGCTTTAGCCAAAGAAACTTCTACCACGGGGCAATCTGGGGTGCTGAGCACGAATTTGAGTTCGGCTTCGAGGCGTTCTCCATCTGCAACTACATCGCTCGGACAAAATTAGTTGTTTTCATTACATTATGTCAGTAGACTGATGAGTTTTGTTAGTGAAAGAAGAGATCAAATTTTAAAACATTGTGCATATGTGTAAAAACTTGTTAAATTTTCCGAAGTACAGCAAATCATCGCATGGTCCGTTTTTCATTTGGAAAAGTAGCCGAAACAACAGCAAATAATTTTGCTAGTACACAATCCCAGGGTGTCGAACCAGATTCCTTTCTCTTTTCACACCAGATGAAATGTTTTAAGGCTTCACTTTCTGCTACAAAAGTGTCTGTGAACACGACCAGTCCAAATAGGGAGCACCGTAAGTTTTGATAGACAGCCTTGAACTGCATCCGGTGTGTTTGCACTATGTATCTGTGTTTCCGAAAACGCCTGTATCCGACATAGTTGTGCCCAAAAGGGAGAGGGAAGATATGCTCCATCCGGCGATACCCATGGTGAAATTGTTAGCGAGGCCTGAGCACCATGAAGACTGTTTTGGGGATCGATCCGTGCTTCCTCTGCTGTAACAGTTTTGCGGGATATCACGAAATGGATGCAGTCACAAGACGATAGAATCACGAAGGCAAAGAGAAAGTCGCGAGTCGTCGAGTCGCGTGCGTCCATATTGAAAATGCGGTTCAAAGTGGAATGGTGAAAAAGCAAAGAAATCCGTCAAAAATGAAGCAAAATAGTACCCCTTAACTGCCCGTTCATTTTCGACCGTGAATGAGCGGCGACAAAGAAAGGAGTTGTTTGGACGTGTTAACCCCGATAGCCGCCATCATGCCAACAAGCGTAGTGTTTTGATTGATAAGGCAATACGTGGGCAAGTTGGAAGATACAGCCGCTAGAAGGGAAATGATCATCCAAAATGAAAAGCCAACAGCAAACAGTCCATCCAGATCATCAACAAACTAGTGGGCGTCACGTCACTAGGGCGGGGCGTCACGCGGGTCCTGCTCAGCAACCACAGCACCTTTCGCCGTGGGAGGGCCACACATCTCTTCCCTTGGCGGCCAAGTAATTGCTCCGTGTGACGCAGGGTCTTCCCCGATGGGAAAATTCCTTTGCGTAATCGCTTCCTTTAACCACAGAAAAACGGACCAGCGAAACATGTGTCTTCACTTCTAGGATGTGAGAAAATCGACCATTGAAATAGATGAGCTGAGATGAGACGAGTGTTGAGTGATCAATGTGCGATATGAACTGAGTAAGATTTGTTATTTGTAAGCGGGATTCCAAGCCGTCCTTAAGTATTCAGTCGTGTGATGTTTGTGTTTGCTCAGGTTGAGAGGAATCAGCAAACTGCCTCTTCTAAAACAATCAATTTTTGTTGCATGAAAGTCTTTTTGGCAAACGATAAAGCAAAGCCTTACAGGGCGGGGCACGAGGCGGTCGTGTTTGGGGACATATTGTCTGATGTCGGCCCTGAATAATTAGCGATCAGTCAATGGTTTTGACTTGTTGAAGTGTACATCCTAATATTACTTCAAATTTTCATTTAGTGGAAACACCTACATAGCACGCGCGAGTGCACCACGCAGAATAGCTGCCCAACACAAACGCATGTCCTTTCGTGAGCGGAGTGCTCTAGCTCTAGCCGTATCGTTGTCCCCAAGAGTGAGCCAGAAGCTTAAAAATTGGTTAGAAACGCAATTTGCAGCAGTCATTCTGCCTTTCTGCCTTACCTAGTGGGATTTTGACTCAACTCTTCTACACTGGTATCCAATTCTGGGGCATATAAGTTCATACAGATGGAGAACGCCTCGAAGCCGAACTCAAATTCGTGCTCAGCACCCCAGATTGCCCCGGGTAGAAGTTTCTTTGGCTAAAACTTGAGCGGAATTCGAAATACTCTGAATTTCGGTCTTTTCGGCAAAACCGAGCCCAGATTCGTGCTCAGCACCCCAGATTGCCCCGGGGTAGAAGTTTCTTTGGCTAAAACTTGAGCGGAATTCGAAATACTCTGAATTTCGGTCTTTTCGGCAAAACCGAGCCCAGATTCGTGCTCAGCACCCCAGATTGCCCCGGGGTAGAAGTTTCTTTGGCTAAAACTTGAGCGGAATTCGAAATACTCTGAATTTCGGTCTTTTCGGCAAAACCGAGCCCAGATTCGTGCTCAGCACCCCAGATTGCCCCGGGGTAGAAGTTTCTTTGGCTAAAACTTGAGCGGAATTCGAAATACTCTGAATTTCGGTCTTTTCGGCAAAACCGAGCCCAGATTCGTGCTCAGCACCCCAGATTGCCCCGGGGTAGAAGTTTCTTTGGCTAAAACTTGAGCGATATTCGAAATACTCTGAATTTCGGTCTTTTCGGCAAAACCGAGCCCAGATTCGTGCTCAGCACCCAAGAATTGCACCGTGCTAGAGAGTTTCTTTCGGCTAAGCCTTGAGCGATATTCGAAATACTCTGAAATTAGGTCTTTTCGGCAAAACCCAGCCAAGATTCGTGCTCAGCACCCCAGATTGCCCCGCGCTAGAAGTTTCTTTGGCTAAGCCTTGAGCGATATTCGAAATACTCTAAAATTAGGTCTTTTCGGCAAAACAACCAAGCCAAAATTCGTGCTCGGCACCCAAGATTGCCCCGCGGTCGAAGTTCTTTGGCCTAAGCCTTGAGCGATATTCGAAATGCTCTGAATTTAAGTCTTTTCGGCAAAACCAAGCCAAAATTCGTGCTCGGCACCCAAGATTGCCCCGCGGTAGAAGTTTCTTTGGCTAAGCCTTGAGCGATATCGAGAAATACTTTCTAAAAGTAGGTCTTTCGGCAAAACCCAGCCAAGATTCGTGCTCAGCACCCCCAGATTGCCCCGCGCTAGAAGTTCTTTGGCTAAGCCTTGAGCGATATTCGAAATGCTCTGAATTTAAGTCTTTTCGGCAAAACCAAGCCAAAATTCGTGCTCTGCACACCCAAGATTGCCCGCGCTAGAATTTCTTTGGCTAAGCCTTGAGCGATATTCGAAATACTCTGAATTTAGGTCTTTTCGGCAAAACCAAGCCAAGAATTCGTGCTCGGCACCCAAGATTGCACCCGTGGTAGAAGTTTCTTTGGCGGCTAAGCCTTGAGCGATATTCGAAATACTCTAAAATTAGGTCTTTTCGGCAAAACGATCCGATAATTCGTGCATCAGCATCCCCAAAGATGCAAACCGCTGGATAGAAAGTGTTCTTAAGCCGGCTATAAGCCTTGCAGCGAATACTTCGAATACTCGCATGCAATTAGCGATCTTTACGCGAGCTAGAACCAAAGCACCGAAAATTCGTGCTCCGAGGACGCCAAAGCCAAGAGTTGTCTCGCGTGAGAATTTCTTTGCTAAGCCTTGAAGCGCAATATTAAGAATACTACTAAATTAAGGATCATCTTCGGAAACAACACCCCCCCCCCCCCCCACACAAGATCGTGTCGTCCAGACTCGGCATCCGAAGATTGCCGCGGCTAGAAGTTCTTTGGCTAAGCCTTGAGCGATATTCGAAATGCTCTGAATTTAAGTCTTTTCGGCAAAACCAAGCCAAAATTCGTGCTCGCACCCAAGATTGCCCCGCGGTAGAAGTTTCTTTGGCTAAGCCTTGAGCGATATTCGAAATACTCTAAAATTAGGTCTTTTCGGCAAAACCGCTGAGCCAAATTTTTTTTGTGCTGGACCGCCAAATTGCCCGCGTAGAAGTTTCTTTGGCTAAGCCTTGAGCGATATTCGAAATACTCTAAAATTAGGTCTTTTCGGCAAAACCCAGCCAAGATTCGTGCTCAGCACCCCAGATTGCCCCGCGGTAGAAGTTCTTTGGCTAAGCCTTGAGCGATATTCGAAATGCTCTGAATTTAAGTCTTTTCGGCAAAACCAAGCCAAAATTCGTGCTCGGCACCCAAGATTGCCCCGCGCTAGAAGTTTCTTTGGCTAAGCCTTGAGCGATATTCGAAATACTCCTAAAATTAGGTCTTTTCGGCAAAACCGAGCCCAGATTCGTGCTCAGCACCCCAGATTGCCCCGCGGTAGAAGTTTCTAAGTTTCTATGGCTGGATTTTGAAAAAACCAGCTTTTTACCCAAAATACCCTAAATTTGAAACTTTTGTGCAAAACCGAGTTCACCACTGTGATCAGCACCCTTGAAAACCCCCCTAGCCAAGTTTCCAGAGAAAATTAATTTTTGGACCTAAATCGGGTATGATCAGGTGCTCGAAGATTTGTTTCTTTTGGTGCCATTAGGATGAACGTGCATGTTTTACCGTTGTTTGGCAAGTAGTACTGCCGCTTGTTCACGCGAATACGATCAATTTCACGTGAACGAGTGGCCAATGCACTATGCAGTATTATGACAGTAGTTGGGCCTCGGTAGATTAGCAGTAGTACTGCTAAATCCTGGAGGAGCCCCTGGAGAGGACTTCTGGCAGAGCCGTGGACTGCTGTAGAGGTGCAGCAGTGCTGGTTGCAGCATATGTCCAGTAGTGCTGCGTCGTTTGTGCTGGTCCTAGGTTGCACTTCTTAGAGGTGTGCAGCAGTGCTGGTTGCAGCAGACGTCAGTCGTTCAGATTACAGCAGCACAGCGGTAGAAACTGTGCGCAGCATGTGCTGCGAGCATGGCCATATCCGGCAGCGCATCCGCCCCTTTTTGCTTCAACACTCGAATGACTTGAGCCTTGCAAATCCCGTTCTGCTGCCAAGCTGCTGCAGCCCTATCTGAGTAATGTCTTCGTGCAGTCCCTTCCGAGCATTATTTTACGTGGTGTGGGGTTTGATCTTTGTGTGCGAAAAATGCAGCTCTATAATTGTGAGAGTGGCAGTTGAGACAGATGGAACTCACGCGAGCCTGTCCCAAATTTCTCATAGGCGCTCTTGATTGTTCCTATGGGAATTGCGATGCAGTATGAAGCGAGAACGGTATAGAGAAGTGATCAGTGATTGGAAATTAATTATGTAGTGTCTTGGGGTTGTTGGTTACTGATAGATTGCTACGCTTATAGGCTTTGAATAGATGAAGAATTTTTTTCCAAAAAAAAACTGAATTAAAAAAGAAAAGTAGCGGCCAACTTAATGTTTCACAAGGTGCATTAGAAGGAATGTCCTAGCTACGATCCTAAAGTAAGTGAAGCCATGAATTGCTCAAAAACGTATCATCCGGTCAGCCGCGCACCGTTCTAGTCGGGAGACGTTTTTCAAACAGTTCAAATTGGATGATGTCCTATCACTGACCGTCGCAAGACCGTCCTGAGTCTATCGGGATCTCGCTGGCTTAGTTCATTAACTCCATTGTTTCGAGATCTTGTGCTTTGTGCTCTTAGGGCTGCGCTTTTTTGGTAGATGCATTGCTTTTGCGTCCCGGCCTGCAGTAAGAATAGTGGCGATTGGAGCTACATAATATTGTGCGTTTCTTTTAGAACTATTCAGTTAGCAAAGTATTACCACAGGAAATAACATATTACAGGAAAGGGATACTAGCATTTGTCTGTCTGATCATCCTTAATTGGATCGGCACGCAATTCTACTTAAACTATGTGTACATTCACAGACAAAAGAAGTTTTTTTGTGAATGCGCTGTGGCCTATACAATGAACGTGCAGCTCCCTGACCAGCGGGGCCCGTGCAAGGACTTGGGGGGGCCAGCCGATGTACAAGTCAGTGTTTTTATCCTCCCAGACAAGTCTGGTACCAATTAACCGACCCCGGAGGGATGGAAGGCTTGGTTGGCCCGGGCGACTCACGACCCAGGATTTGATCCCGGACCGCTCGCGTGGTAAGCGCGCCACTTGTCACTACACCACTTCCGCCCCGGAAATAACATACATCATTTGAAAGTACTTCTTCTGCTCTACAATACCGTGTTTGGCATTTTCTTCTATACTGTAAGTGTACTCAGATATGGCGCTTAGAAGTTGGAGAATCAAGGTGGGCGAAAATCTATATAGAGAAAAAAGCTGCCAAAATAGGAGTTTTTCGGAATCCATCGTCATCATCGAACCTTACTCCAGTCGACCCTTAATTTCAAATCATATTCACGTCGTACAAATTGAGAATAATGAGGATTCTGAAAACGGGCTCAGTACCCTTTTTTGATTTCTAAACCCGGTAATTTCTTGCGAAATGGAACCAAAGTCGTAAATAATGACGAGAAGAACATCACTGATCAGTTTTATGCTTGGCTTTGCTTTTGGGTTTTGCTTTAAACGTTTTTGCCGAATGAGCGCTACGATATTATGCTCCGACCCAATATTAGGGGAATGCATATGATGAGCAGTGGCGGTCTCGTAATTTCGTCCACAAATTTCCAATTTTTTCCCATACCTTGTAAAAATGATGGTGGGCTAATGTTATGGATGTTTCCACGAGGGAGGGGTGATCTACTTTGTTCTTTGACGGAGGAGTCACATTGGGTGGAACCATATATTCGCTTTTCGTAAGTTCTTCAGAAACATCTTATCATGCGAGTTTTTGAGAAAATCGCAGGTGGAGTTTTAATTACGTGAAGTAGTGTACTTGATACAAAAGCTGCTTTAAGTTGCGATACTCTTCTAAGGCCGATGTCAGACTTTGCGAATCGCGCGATTCGCTAGCGTCTGCGGTCGCGTCGCGGCCAGTGAATCACTCAATTGGCTGGTACCGCAACGCGACCGCGGACGCTAGCGAATCGCGCGATTCGCAAAGTCTGACATCGGCCTAATGGAGACCGACAACTCAGACAACTGGTAGTTCTCCTTTTCTATTTCCACTCTGTGTAATGGGGTTGTGAGGAGAGCTTACATTGCAGTCCATTCAAAGGTTTCTCGAAAGCTCTGTCCCATCTCTGGCTCTCGATTTACGCCTTAATAAAGGTGTGTTGAAGAGCTCTGTCATTTGCTCCTGCCTGCGATGTGTGTTTTCGTGGAGCTGGTAGACCTTTGACTTTTTCTTACACTTTACTTTCAACTTCAATTTTTCAGAGGGCAAATACTACCATCACGCAAGGGGAATCCCCGTCATGAAATCGGGTTTCATACTCGACTTATGCGCTCATAAAAAAGCCAATTTCGAACACATGTTTGCGGTTTCTTCGCGAACATTGCAACATTCCTGATGATCAGGAATATTAGAAAAGATGTATGGTTTCGTTGAGTGCTGTGGTTAATTGGTGTGAAAGGCTTGTGATATTATTTTTTTGGCACTATTCAACTATTACAACCCCAAAATCTCAAAATTTTATTTTTCGTCGAAACTTCGCCTATAGGGGTAATTCGATGCCCTGATTACGAAAATGACATTCATTTTTGGCGCTGGCGCCATTGGCGCCATTGGCGCCACTGTTTCACCAAATTCGCTGTAAACTTCTGTATAGGGGTTATTTGGGGTCCTGATTACGAATATGACATTCGTTTTTGACATTACCGCTGTTTACCGCATACTTCCCGCTTTTCTGGGCTCTCTCACCTATACATAGCGCCTTGGGACTAAGCTTAGGGGATAGGGAGACTCGGAATGAGTGAATCAGGCACCGTGTGACGAAGATGGAGCGTGTGAGATCACAGGGTAGGGGGCTCACTCACTGATATCTTTCCTCTCTCCTAAAGCTTAGTCCTGATCGCGATCTAGTCACTAGGAGGGCGCAGACGAAGAGATTAAAGCGCTAAATGGAGCTAGCGCCAAGAATGAATGTCATATTCGTAATCAGGACACCAAATAACCCCTACCCAGAAGTTTACACGAATTTGGTGAAAACAATGTCGTGACAAGGTGACGCCAACTGGCGCCAGATGGCGCCAAAAATGAATGTCATTTTCGTAATCAGGGCATCGAATTACCCCTATAGGCAAAGTTTCGACGAAAAATAAAATTTTGAGATTTTGGGGTTGTAATAGTTGAATAGTGCCGAATTTTTTAGAAAAATGGAAAGTGTGCAGAAAAAAGAAAAAGTGCTGCCCATATATTGGTATAATTGGAGATGATTTTCAAATATTACAGCAGAAAAACCAAACTGATACCTAAAAATAGCAGTGAAATGATGGTTAAAT